CGGCGGGGAGCTGGGCTCTGGCTGCCTGCCCGGAGAAGCTCTGTTGTGCCCTGGCCTTGCCCACTGCAGCTCCTGACCCATGCTGCGGTCTATCCCTGTGTCACTCTTCCTTGGCTACCACAGAGTGTCCACGTGTGTGCTCTCACTTCCCCTGGATTTACCAGCTCCAGGGGTTGCTTTCCTGCCTGGTCCCCTGCCCTAGGCCATCACTCCGTGGCCAGGGCAGTGTGCTGCTGCCAGGCAGGACCTAAAAGCAGACACAAAGCATCCCCCATTCAGTGGGGTGGTGGGGGAGAGGGCCTCACATCTGGGAGGCGGGGCAGCAGTGAGACCTTGCAGTGTGCTTGACCACAGGAGGATGGTGGCCCTGGTGGGCTGGGTTTGGGTCACTGGTGCCAGCCCATGCCACCTCCTGCAACTCAACAGGTTCTGCTGAGTGCCAGGCTATCCGCGAGAGCATGTCCCTTGTATGGGTGCTTGTGCTGGAGAGGCTTTTCCGTTAAGGTGAGGTTGCTCGGGAGGCAGCTGACCTAAGCCAAAAAGATCTTATTCTGGACAATAGTGTCATGAGTCCAGCAGGAACTGTCGTCCGCAGAGGTGTGCCCTGGCCAGAGGTGATGGGTCAGGGCAGGCCAGAGGGCAGGTGTGGCGTGGGAAAGCTAGGGGCTCTGTGGGGACATGTCCCCTCTGCTTGCCCTGGGCAGCCCTGGCACCTGCTGCCCTGGCACTAGCTCGTGTGCAGGCTGCCAAAACCTGGCGTGACAGTGGAGTGTCTCCTCTTGTGTCTTCTCCTTTGGCTGGGAACTGTGGCACGGTCCTTGTAATTTCCTCCCCAACCTCCAGTGTCAGTTGCTTTGCTGGGACTTTGTGCAATTCCTTGGTTGCCCCACACTGCCCTTGACATTGCTCTGCTGTCTACTGCTCTGCCCCACCAGCCCTTGCCATCAGGCTGCAGGGTGCTCCACCACGGGCTTTGGGGGCTTGTAAGGATTTGGGCTGGGGGTCTGGCTTGAGGGAGGGCACAGCACAGAGGTTTGGTGTGCCAGAGTGATGCCCATCCTTGAGGGAGAGCTCTGCAGGTTGAAGACTTGGCATGTGGTGGGAGATGCTGCTTGGAAAGGCTGCCACTTGCTGCCTTCCTCCAGGGACTAGGAGGACCCCCAGGGGAGCATGTGGGTGCTGGCACAGGGTGCAGTGCTGGCACAGCCACCTGCCCGGGACCAGGTGACAAACGGGTGCTGCAGACCAGGGGTGGAGGAGGTGGTTCTGTCCCCTGCCTGTCCTCTCGCAGTGCCCAGTTGGTGTTGCCCTGTGCTGCGTGTTTACCCTGGCTGTGGCTGCCCTGACTCTTCCTCCAGATGTGCCCTGCAGGGGCAGGGGATGTCCCAGCCTTTCCTCTGCTCCCCAGATCTCTTCTACCCACACGGATGGTGGTAGGGCAGGAGCAGGATGCAGATGTGGGAGCACAGGGAGGCAGGGCTGAGCAAGGGATGTGATTCTGGGGAGTCAGAGCCTTGGGTGCCATGGTCTAGGGTGAGGTGTCCATGTCCATAGCAGGGGGGTTGGAACTAGATGATCTTAAGGGCCCTTCCAACACAAACCATTCTAGGATTCTGTGGCTGCATGTACAGGACTGCATTTGTGGATGTGTGGGTGAGGCAAGCGACACCAGTGCTGGGAGAGGGACAGAGCTGTGGTGGTGGCTGGTGGTTTGGGGGAACCCGGTGCGGTGCACACATACTTGCTCAGGGCCTGTTTGCCTGCCCCTTCCCCACAGGGTTTGTGTCAACTGCCTGGTCAGGATGAGCTGGAGTTTCCTGACACAGCTCTTGGAGGAGATCAACAACCACTCGACCTTCGTGGGCAAGATCTGGCTGACTGTCCTCATTGTCTTCCGCATCGTGCTGACGGCTGTGGGGGGCGAGTCCATCTACTATGACGAGCAGAGCAAGTTTGTCTGCAACACGCAGCAGCCGGGCTGCGAGAATGTCTGCTATGATGCCTTTGCCCCGCTCTCCCACGTCCGCTTCTGGATTTTCCAGATCATCATGGTGGCCACGCCATCGGTGCTGTACCTGGGCTTTGCCATGCATCGCATCGCCCACATGCCTGAGTCCTTGCGGCGCCGGGCACCGGCAGCCCGGCAGGCACGCATGCCAGTGGTGCGCCGGGGAGCTGGGCGGGACTACGAGGAGGCAGAGGATGATAACGAAGAAGACCCTATGATCTTTGAGGAGATTGAGGTGGAGAAGGAGAAGAGTCCGGAAGGTGGAGAGAAGCATGATGGCCGGCGCCGCATCAAGCAGGACGGGCTGATGCGTGCTTATGTCCTACACTTGCTATGCCGCTCGCTGCTGGAGCTGGCTTTCCTCTTTGGGCAGTCCCTGCTGTACCGCTTCGAGGTGAGCC